AAAATTCTGTCTGGCTGAGACAGTACTCAATTCTCACTCAATTCATTTTCACTCAATTGACATCTCAGATCTATGGGATCTGCGTGCCAATCCATGAAGCCCTATTCTGTAGACACCCTGTGCAGGCCCATTTCAGCTATTTGATAGGGTGGACATAAAGTCTGTTCTCAGTTCTAGGTGTTGTCTTGCCAGTGGTGTCTTGTCTCTTTATTTCTGATAGGGCACAATGAATCACACACCTAACCCACAATAACATCTCATCATCATCTAATAATTCAAATCTAACAAAAATACAGTGAAAATATCCACATCACTTGGTGCTTATCTCATACAGTGCTTATTTTCTTACACAGTATAACAAATGCATAATTCTCTTGGAGTACTAGAAGTTAAATCATGAAGACCTCAAATGCAAGATTAAGTAAACAGTGCGCATTCACTACAGCCAATCAACTACATGCAGCAGGATTAAATGAATCAACATTGACATCCATTAGAAAAGAAAGTATGCATGAAAATCAATTATGCAAACGTGTTAGTGCCTTTACAAGTCAAGATATGGCAACCTATGAATCAATTAAAATGTAAACTACACGCATATTGAAGGTATTCAACCTTTGACCCATGGAATTTCATTTTAAAGATTTTGTTCTTTTAAAAGTTTTTCTGATTTGGAGAACACCAACATCATTTTATTCAATTTTTTTAATGTGAGGCAGCAAAAAAGTTGGATGAGAAAATTATTGACAGTACAGACATAAAACAAAAGTAATCAAATATTATGAAATATAAAAGCTCTCATTTATTAAAAGGCTTCCTTTCCAGTAAAAATATCTAAACATCCTTCAAATTTCAGAAGCAAAACTGCATAAGAAAATAAAACTTCTCTATAGAGAGCCTAAACTTCGCCAGTATAAATTTATTGTTCATCTGTTCAAATCAGAACAAACTGAATTATGAATGAAGATCTAGGTCTGAGCAGTAGATTGCAGACAGGAGGCTGCATTGGCCAGTGGCCTAAAAGACTTACAGTATTATAAAGGGTTGCATGGTGGCCAGCAGATATTGTACTCATCTCCCTCAGAGAACCAGGGTTCAAGATGTAACCTAAAGTTCTCAGAGCTGAGATATTTTGGTTCATCAGATATTGGAAATTTCACTGCCTCCATAAATTTAGGCGTCAGCAGGAACTGGCAATACACAGCAAGTGGAAAACCATTGAATGACTCAAAAGACATTGGCTGAAGACTTGAAGCAAATACAATGGCCCAACAGTCTTAAATTTATAGTATAGATTATGTTAATTCAATAGGAATGCTTGTGTTTCTTTTCTTTTCCATTCTTTCTACAGTAAACACTGAAGAATTCCAGTATAATTTTATACTGATAATCTGACTTGTCTTTTTCATCCATGGCTGATTTTCATTATTTACAATGGTGCACTTTCACACTTAATTAACTGATACTCACAGTCTCTGCAGTTGTGTGTACTTGGAGAAGATGTAATCATCCAAATGCCTAATCCTATTGTTCTTCAGAGACCTATACAATTATAAAGCATTGGATTACAAACAGCACAGCATTGCAGACACAGTTCATCTGTAAAAGGAAAATCCTGTCATCTTTCACTTGACCAGTAATGCTGTTCGAAACCATTCTTTTTATATCCCATTCCATTAGCTAAAGCCATATGATATCTTTGTGTGAGGAACACACCAATATGTAAGTCATTAGTTACTCAAAATCCTCCTCTTCTCTCCGTCCTTTCAAAACTCATTCAGATTCATGGACTACTTTTTATTTTTTGAGCTTGTTTGAATCGACAGAGCTTTTGTTGTATAGAAAAGAAAGAAAAACCCGGACATTTTAAATATCTCCTTTGGAGTTCCAGACAAAAAGAAAAATCACATAGGGTAAATCTAGAGTAAATGATGAACAGAACTGTCATTTTTTGGGTGAATTATCTCTTTAAGGAGCCTTTTCATTCCACAAGGATGAAACAATCTGGTTTTCTTAGATACAAGTTTAGTAACCACTGATATTAATTATCTAATGTTCCTTTATTTTCCAAAAACATCCCCAGAATCCAAAAGATCATCTCCAGCATCCTAAATCCAAAAATCATAAATTATCTTTAAATATGCCTACCTCTTCCACCCTGTATCTCTTAATATCTTCAAAGTTCAGATCATAAAAAAATCTAAAGTATCATAAGCATAGAACAATATGCACAATAAACATAACCAAAACCAACAAACAAAATACAACTCCAACTTTCAAGAAGTGTGCATATTGTTTCTTTCTTTTGGTAATTGTTCAGTGCAAAGAAGCTCTATATCTTGTTAAGATTTATGGCTCAACGATGAAGGTCCATGTCTCACTGATGTCAAATTTGTACTCCGCTTGTCCAGCTACAGTTAATAAACTCTCGTGGGAGCAGAGGAGTAAAGCTTTGCAGATGGATCCCAGCTTGATGTACTTACAACCAAGTCACATTGGAAGAGAGGACAGGTACGACATGCAGGTTCACGTCCACACATTCCACCTCCGTCTTAATGCAATCACAGCTCTCTGGGTACTGTGGCAGAACTGTACAAGATCAATATAAACATACACACAAATTCAATTATTATAGTAATACATTATTATTACATCTAGTACATAAAGCTTAAAAAAAGAGATTTATTGCATTATTGTTGTTTCATTGGTTTTCCTACTATTGTTAAGTTCTGCCAGGAATAATGTCAACGCAGCATTTCTATTATTACATATGATTAATAAGGTTGAACCAATAAACATATTTACCCATATTTGTATTAACGCATTTTTTGGCGTTGTTCAAATTAGGTCTGCACTGGAAAAAAAATTATATACATATACATATACAGTTTATACGACGATTACTGGGCAAGTTTAACCTAATTAATATTCATAATCCACATACATAAGTTTATAAGTGCAGTGCAGATTTATGATGTATTACAGTAAAATGCAGCCTATAGGATTTCTTACTTCAAAAGTGACCAGTAGACTATTGAAGTGTAAGGCTGTAAATATATCAAATAAACTCTGAGAGGGAAAAAAAAAAAGAAAAAGAAAAAGAAAAGAAAATCTAAGTCTGGCCCTCACAAGGAAGTTGCAGCAGCGTTTTGGACTAGTTTTTAGTGTTTTGGACTAGTTTTTTTGAATGAGCCCCAAGATAAGATCACTTATGCTAATCTATCTATTATATTTTCCTAAGGAAATCGGATCAAGACCGGGAAACATACAGCAGTCATTAGGAAGGTCTTGTGGCTCTGCCTTCTTAAAGTTTCGATCAAAGATATCCGCCCATCCGCTGTTGTCCCCTGCAGAAAGTGAAAGCAAGCCTTTGCATGAGAAAGTCACCATAACTATATAAAGATGTTACAGTTTGAAGACATAAATTGCCTTTGCGGTCTAAAAGAGATGTCAGAATTTCTCCCTTCAAAGCTAATTACATCAATGTTGAATAAACATCATGTCCTAATGTATTTCAGAGTGGAATCATAATCATCGTTGACATAAAATTTAGTCCCAGTTGTAAGACTGGACTATAAATTCACTGCCTATTTTAAATTGCTGAATAGCTTTAGAATTGAGAACAGCTTGAAGTGCATCTATTAAATTTCATGCAGCAATCAGCAAAGTGAAATGGCCTCACCGCAGTGTTCTTCATCCGCTCCGTTCTTGCAGTCCCTGTGGCCATTACACTGAAGGACCTGGGGCAAACACACACTCAAGTTTCCACAAGGGAACTGACCTAGAGGGCAAACTTCTATCAAAGCCCTGCTAGCCATCATGGATGCTGCTGGTGGCAATGAGAAGCGGGCAGAAGACGGAAGAGAAGGAAAAGTTATAACATCTCCAAGTACAAAAAGGATATTGGTGAAAAGCTCTTTAAATCACCATGGCACTTTATGCTTCCATCTAGGGGTGTGCGATATATATCGTCTGCAATAATATCGTAATTGTTGTTTTAACGATGTGCGATTTGACATTATCGAGTATTTTGCAAAAACCATACAAAATATCCCTACAGAGCGCACGCATAAATTACGTGAAGTCTAGACTAGTGCCTGTGCGCATTTAGAGTGCGTTCTTTCACTGCACAAAAATATCGTCTAATTATCGTTATCGATAAAATCCCAGAAAATATCGAGATATTATTTTTTGTCAATATCGCACACCCCTACTTCCATCAGGGCAAAGTAGATGACTGGAAGCCCTCCAGCAGTGTTAGATGGAAAGCACAAGCCAACAGACGAATGAGCACCAAAATACAGAATTTGACCTTTGATGTGAATAAAAGAAATGGGAAGTGTATTCTCCTGCCTTTTGAAAGTTGATAAGCATATTTATTTTATCACCCCAGCCATGTACGTTTATGGCTAATGCAGTGAATGACACGAAAAGCGCTCAACTGTCAGACTATATGCAGCTTAGAACAAATATGTTGCAACAAGTACTAATTACAGCTTGTAGTGTAGAGTGTAGTTTGTATGTTATACAGCTTATAAGACTAACTGCTATATAACTAAAATATGTGGTCTATTCCATACCATATATGGGTAGGAGATTTATTTTCATTTTTATTAATCACATTATGGAATTTTTTAATATATGTTAAAAAAATATATCAAAGAGGGTAAACAACGCAGCTATATACACTCTTTTTGGAAAAAAAAAAAAAAGTTTGAACTAACTAAGTACTTTCCTTGAACCAGAAGTTTACTGCTCCAATCTGGAAACTGATTTTGTTTTTCAATTTAATCATTTGTAAAACTGTAGAAAAAGCTTAGGGCACAGGCTTTCACACATTAAGTAATAAAATAAATAAGCTTCAAGCACATAAACACCTTCAAGTTATCATCATGCAACCTCAAATCAGGAACATTAGGCTAATGCCATGAGTACCAGAGTCCTGGTAATGAAAAACAACTCTGCATGGAACAATATTTTTAGTACTGGCTCAACAGTAACATTTCTGTCTGCCAGCCTTATCAAGCCAGTAGTTCTGGTTTTCATTTGCCCAGCCAAAATGATCAATTGTGCCAATATATTTAGTATACTTTCCTTACTAAGACAATTCGCAGTAATTTGTGAAAATTACACAGGAAACTCCAAGAAAGCAATAAATTCATGAATACATATGCTGAAGAATTATGACGCTAACAAGCCTATCGCAAGTCATTTGTGCAATTTCAACAAAACCTCATCTATGTCAGCCAGCTACACATTTAGATAACAGTAGCTGACAAGTTTAAAAAGTTGACAAGCACAATTCACTACCAAAATGTCACAGAAAACCAAATGTTGAAGTGTGCACTATTTCAACCGGCTGCCCAAGGCCAGCATAAAAGACGCTCAGGACAGTTGACGGACCGCTGCTGCGCGTCGTCATGAAAGCATTTACCAATTTAAACATTTAAGAGATTTTAAAGCATTCAAGCACAAGACACGAAAGTATGAGGGTAGAATTGTTGCATTATTCCAAATAAATAGATTATGATCCACAAATAAATGTAAAGCGATTAACAAAAACCAAACATATTCACAAAATAAATCCACAAATAAATCTTAAGTTTCTCAAACATGAATTCAATTCACAAATAAAAAAAATGAGACTTGCAAATAAAATATATATATATTCACAAATATCTTTTTATTCTACAAACACAACTTTGCCTGGTATTTATTTGTGAATCTCGTCCTGTGCATTTGTAGATCGCTGCGCGCATTTGTGGATTTTGAGACATTTCTAGCGTCAAGACGCACACCAATCCACAAATGTATGGACTCCACCCACCTTCTACTCAAGCCAATCAGATAACAGCAACACTTCGCTGACCAATCGTAGCATGTTCTCATTATAACCAATCACGTTTTATTTTACAATCAGGGCGGGAGCAGATTCAATTTGCACCCCTGTAAGGAACTGCATTCTATGGACACTTCGTTCAAATTGAGCTGAAGTGCTGCTTGTGTGGTTAAAAAAAAAAACTGTTTCCAAAAGATTGTTGGAGTGTAAGGTTTCTTTATATTTCCATCAGGATCAGTGAATAAGGATAAACTCAGGATTATAGACCATGATCATTCACAGATCCCGAACATCATCAGTAATACCCTCGCGAAGAGTCCAAAGCAAATAGAAACCTACTGCGATGCTGTCTACTCTGGACGAGGCGCTGTCACGGGTTGCTACTGTGAGGAGCACGGAGCGAGGAACGGGGAGACCAGGAGTACAAAACAAAGGAGTTTAGCACAAGGAGTTGACAAACAATTCCAGACAAGGGAGAACAGAACGGGCTAGAACTAAATAGGGCAGATAACGAGGGGCAGACAGGTGATGGGGATAACTAATAACAAGGAACAGGTGATACTAATAATGGGAAAAGGAACTGGAAGGACCAAATAAGGACAACAGGAACTAAACAGGAACATACACGTGACAGATCGCCCCCCTCCCGGACGGCGCGTCCCGCGCCGTAACAGTACCATCAGGGAGGGGGGGCGGGCGTCCTGGAGGCTGGTGCAGGTCTGGAACAGGGCGGAGACAAGGAGAGCCTCCAGGGCGGATCAGGGAGCCATGGCGGAGCAGGGGAATCGGGAGACCATGGCGGATCCTCCGTGGCCTTAGCTGGCTCGGCCACGGGTATATTCCCGCCCCCCCCAAAATTTTCTTGGGGAAATCTAGGAATCCTGGGGGGCGCTCTGGAGGAGCGGGCACTGGAGCGAGCTCTGGTGCTGGAGCCGACACTGGAGCGAGCTCTGGGGCAGGAGCCCTCCCTGGGCTTGACTGGGGATCAGGAGCCCTCCCTGGACTTGACTGGGGATCAGGAGCCCTCCCTGGGCTTGACTGGG